GATATCCAAACCATTTACATAGTGACATGGCATCCAAATAGTTTTGCAGCATATAGCGTGCACCTCCAGTAAAGGATGAAGGTAATATGACACGTTGGTCGACATTCGAGATATCAGTCGTTCCTTGAGCTTTTTGGTTACGTAAATTTTCATAAGAATCACATCTAAGAACATGTTGTTGCCTACGTATGTAGTACATTCTCTCCGTTTCCATCATAGTATAGGCATCTACCAGAAATTGTTGAAACAACCTTCTTGAATTAAGTATGAGAGAGAACGAATGATCTCTGTCTTGAATCCTATAAGCGAAATATTCTCTCATTGTACATTTCGCACGCTTGCTGTTGGTCGTAAATGACACACCTCTATGAAGAATGTCAACACTATAACCATCATCCCCATATGGAAATAGCAATGGATATTGGAGAGGAAGGTACGAAGGATGCAATTCACTGATACGTTGTAGACAACCATTTTTTGTTTGAACGACGATATCCCTCTTTTCGATTGAATCCGAAATGTCACCAATTATTAAAGCAGCAACCTCAGAAGCAGTCGGTAGGTTATATGTTCTTCCATCTTGCTCCCTTCTCCCGATAAGTCGTAATTTCATATCAACTTCTGGATTTTTTTGAAAAGTATCTCTTACCATTTTATAAGATCTAACCAAGACATTATTTGAATCCAACATCACCTTAATATCTTTAACAATATCACTATCAGTTGATGTTGATTGATCTTTTTCACCACTAAAATAAATAAATTTATACATAATATTAGTAATATATACATAATATATATATAATAATAATAATAATAATAACAATAATAATAACAATAATAATAATAATAATAATAATAATAATAGATTATGAATAAGAAGTTTGAGAAAATACCGAAAACATCTTTGTCTATTTGTAATTTCGTTGTCAGTGTCATAAATGTATAACTGAGAGAATTTTGGTTCCGATCCTTTTGCTGGCAAAAGACTTCCAATACTATGATAATTTTGACCACCCAATCTGAAAATGTAAGGAGCGTTTCCTCTATTGATTGAAGAGTCAATTTTACCACCCATCGACGTGAAAGAAAACATTGAATTGTAACGTCGAATGTTTTTCATGAAATGTTTGCTTTTTGAATCCATATTTCGAAACATTCTTTCATAAGTAGGGGGTGCATTCTTTAAGTCTGGAAGTTGAACTTTGCCGTAACCACAACATAATGAATAATCCGTGTTCCCATTTTCTTTACCTCTAATGGATTCATTTCTCCATAACTTTGCACGACATGTTTGACATACAACATCTTGATCACCATGATCCAAATATTCTGTAAAATAAAAGCGTTGAATAAAATATCAATGAATTTTATAATTATATAGAACATAGTATCTGAAATGTAAAATGGATTTTATTTTTTCATTACCATTTGAGATACCAACTATACGATTTTCATTGTTCACTTGATGTATATTTTCTACATCTTCTGTCAAATCAATCAATGGGATAGGGGATAAATGTCTTGTCTTTGTTTTTAATTTATGACATCCTGGATTTAACTTGATTGATGATGAAGAAGTTGTCACTGTAGATGCATTTTTTGATGTCATATCATTTGAAAGTACATGATACTGTCTTTTATTTGCTAACTTGGAAGTGATATATTTATCGAAACCAATGTTATCTGAATAAAATAAAAATAAAATAGTTAACTAGATAAATAAATATTTACATAATGGATAATAGTATATTTTAAAAACCATAAATAAATATTTAAAAAAAAAATAGTTAACTAAATAATGATAATAAAGTAAATGTATTTAAAAAGTTACCTAATATGTTTTAAAAAAATAAAATTGAAGTTAGTTAGAATTAAATAAATAATGATAATAAAGTAAATAAAAATAAAATAGTTAACTAAATAAATAAATATTTAAAAAAAAAAAAATTACCTAATATGTTTATATAATACAATTGAAGTTAGTTAGAATTAAATAAATAATGATAATAAAGTAAATGTATTTAAAAAGTTACCTTTATTAATTTGTTTATTAAAATGTTTAACAAAATTTGCAAATATTAATTTACTCTTTTATAATATATTTTAAAAAAATTAGTAAATTGAAGATTTTAAAAAGTTACCTGATATCAATTATTTCCCTGATGAGCATCATGACTCATCATCCTCATTTCCAACCTAGGGTTTATTCGATTTAAATCTACTGTTTCCCCAATTTCAACCAATCGTGGGTTCGGATGATATCAGGGGTTAAAACCCTAGATCTCAATGGAATCAATGAAGGTAAAATTGTGTGATACACGATAATCGTGATGATTATAAATTGCTTATTGATCTTATGTATCTATTCAAGATTATTTTTTTACAATTAGAAAAACATCTATTCCAGCATATTGATTATTGTTGTAAATTTCAACCATAAATTCATAGAGAAAACAAAGTGATCTAAACTGATAATACTAACCTGACATATGGATATGGAAATCTTGCAGGTAGAACTGGAATGGGATTACAACTTTAATGAAGCAGTTTGATGTAAGCTTAATGAAAAAAAAATCGCAGAAACAATTGAACATTAAGAAGACGAATGAGGTGTTTCAAAATTTTGGATTTCACGTTTTGAGGTAAAGTTATATGCTTGAATATTGGAAAAAGATTACGATTATATGATTTTATTGTTGTTGGATCTTTATTAGATATAATTTTCTTCCTGATTTTTTGGAATTTAAAAGATTACAACTAAAAATTAGTTTAATATTCAAATTTCATCTAAAAAGGGAGTATAGAATATTAGGAAATAGTTGGTTGAATATAGGTTATTTACAGAAGATAAGTAAATATGCTGCAACCATTACAAAAATGTATGAATTAATTTTAGAGAATCAAAGATATAAATTTTGTTTACATTTTATTATTCACAATACATAAGTAGCAGATTTTATTATTCAGAATACATAAATAGCAATATACTTAGTTTTCGACTTTTGAGTCCAAAGATGTATGATTCGAACTTTAATTGTGAAATCATCCTTGATTGAGTCAATTTCCTTTATAGGAGTAATATGTTCCATTGTACCTTGCAATTAAAAAATAATTGTTTTGTTAACAAAAATGTTAAAATATAAAAAGAAAAATCGAAAGCCATTGATTGATTTATTTATTTATTTGTCTTAATTGTTAATTGGCATTTATCAAAACATTTTCAAGTTAGGGGCAATATGGTCGTTTTGGAGTAAACGAAGTGGAAAAGGGTAACATGACAGTTATAAAAAATAAAAAACTATATCATAGACTATAGTAGAAGTTTTATTATTCAAAATACATAAAAAAAAAAGTAGAAATAGCAATACACATTGAATTTTTTGTTATTCAGAATACATAAATAGCAGAATACATAAAAAACCAAATAGATTGATTGATTATTATAGGTCAGATTTTATTATTCAGAATACATAAATAGCAGATTTTATTATTCAGAATACATAAATAGCAGAATTTTATTATACAAATTGATTGATTGATTTATTTGTCTTAATTCTTAACTGCGATATATCAAATACTTATCAAGTTAAGGGCAATATGGTCTTTTTGAAGTAAAAGAAATGGAAAAGAGTAAGATGACAGTTATAAAAAATAAAAAAGTATATCATACACTATAGTAGAAATTTTTTTATTCAGAATACATAAAAAAAAAAGTAGAAATAGCAATATACATTCAGTTATTTGTTTTCAAATTAAGGGCATAGATTGATTGATATAGCAGATTTATTATTCAGAATACATAAATAGCAGATTTTATTATTCAGAATACATATATAGTAGAATTTTTATTATACAAATTGATTGATTTATTTATCTGTCTTAATTGTTAACTGCGATATATCAAATACTTATCAAGTTAGGGGCAATATGGTCTTTACATATATAGCAATATTTTTATTATACAAATTGATTGATTGATTGATTTGTCTTAATTGTTAATTGCGATATATCAAGCAGATGAAGTAAGATCGATTGTTTTGAAATGCGATGTCAAATCTGTTGAAGGGTGTAATGATTATTGTTTTCGAATGGTATGTGTTCGATTGGTTATTGGGTTTGTATACAGGGATCGATTTTAAACGGAGGTTAAAGATTGTGGGAACGAATAACTGTTAAATTCGATGTTTTCTGGAACGAAGCCTTGGTTATTAAATGAATCATACGAAGGATCTGTTATTTGATTTTGGAATTGGGGCGAATAATCGAACGATTTGGAGTTGCGAATTTGATTTTGAAAAGCCAATCAGTTGGGTTCGCATATGAAAACAGATAAGTTTTGATTTTGGATTCGCAATTGGGTTAATTGGGTTATTGATTGAGGGACGATTCGTGAAGAAAAATGCGAAGTCAAGAAGGACTGTGAAATGTGATTTGTTCAATATTGGAGTCAAATGCAGTTCACGTGTAAAAGCAAAAATGTTCGCATTTGGTAATACAAATCAAAATTGGGTTTCGCATATGAGGTTGTATGGATTGGGGTTAAAGATGCGAAGGTGATTATGGTTAATATTCATTTCGCATTTGGTGAGACAAACAACTCAAATGCGAATGAACTAAAAAAAAAATGACTGGAACATGCGAAGAAAGAGGGTGAATGAAGAATGCGAATTTTACAGTAGAATGCGAATTGGGGAAGAAAGCTAAGAATTTCGCATTTTTATTATACAAATTGATTGATTGATTGATTTGTCTTAATTGTTAATTGCGATATATGAAATACTTATCAAGTTAGGGGCAATATATTTTATTTGAGTTATAACCAAAATCAACTAACTTGTCCAATTTAAAACAATAAAAGTATCCAAAAATATTCAAAACCAATAATATTTGACATCCTAAATACCCCAAAATAAAAATCATACCAAGCAATTAAAATATCTTTATAACCAAAACAAATGATCAAAATATATTAAATGTGTCTTATAACCGATAGAAACTCACTTTTCAATTTTTGGAATCAAGAGTGGAGTTTCCTCTGCGGTTGACTTTCTTTTAGCCTTAGTTGAACTTAAATCATATCCAGAATCAACATCATAAATTTCTTGGAGGTTGCGCTTCAAATCACCTGATATTTTGCAAGGACTTGTTGCGGTTGACTTATCAACTGTTGAGGGTGTAAAACTTTCGTCTGTTTGTGAGATCACATCCTAATTTAAAAAAAAATGTTTGATTCCTAAAAAAAATAACTAATATAATTAAAAGTTTATAAAATAAAATGAAAAACCTTTTGAACAGGCTGTACAACATCATCGGATTCCAAAGCAACTTGATTTAAGGAGACAGATTGAATACTCTAAAAAATAAAATGGAAATATGTTAATCGTTATGTACTTTAACATTAAAGAATTGTAAATTTTCAACAATAAAAAATTACATACCATAAGTTCTATTTTACTTTCCAATTCACAAACAATGGACATATCTTCTGTAACTCTGAGAACTGTGTAGATGTTATTATAGTTGTTGACATTGTATTCTGTAATATCTACAACAAAACCAAACTTGCGGTTTTTCAACACGTTAAGTTGCATTGGAAATAGGGCATCACTGTCTCCGGCCTGTAAGATATATTTTAATAAATTAAAAAAATTAAGTAAATGTTTTCTGATTTTAAAGGTATGAATAATATACCGCATCATGTATCTTTTTCAACTCGTAGGCACTTATATTTAACAACCTCCTTGCTTCCCTATCAAAAAGAGTCAATCCAATGGTTCCAGTACAATCTTGTACGTTAATTGGAATTATATACCTAAAACAAAAAATAATTATGTCATTGTTAGTGTTGTTTTAAGATTGACAAAATTAATAGAAATAAATATGTCTATACTTTATAACTGACTGAAATTCAGATTTTTTGCATTGTGCATTTGTACACTCGACAACCATAGTTTCTGAAATTCCCTCAGGGTTGGTATACGAATGATTGGTTTTGGGAACAGGGATAATTTTTTTTCCACATTTTTTGCATGCTTCATAATACCATGGTAGATTCTGCCTTATATTAACAATGGAAGCAACTAATAAAAACTTCATTTCCTGTATCATATCAAATGTAAAAATTATTAAAATAAATTATGCAAAAATAAAATGTAAAACATATAAAATAATGCAATATACCTTAATTGGTTCGGTGATCTCACAGATTGTTTTTAATGGAAAATTGCCCTTAAAGTCATCTGTATATGAAGAAGAGTAGCTTTGAAGTGTAGTTATGCTTTTTTCAGTTATACCGAAATTGTCATGACATTTCAACCTGTAATGTTTAATTTAGATTCATGAATATTAGGTTTTGTGTTTTTTTTAAGTTAAAATACATTATAAAAAAATAAAAAACAATTGGAAACTAACTTATTTTTAAACTCATTTATTTCATAAATGTCAGAATTTATGAACAATTTCGTTACTTCAAAATGACTTTTAGCTTCACCAAGACCTGTAAAAAATGTATATCCAATTATTAAAATTTATATAAAAACAGTAATTATAAACATCTATATATAAAGACTGAATACAAACCATTCCAAATGTTTAGCTTCAAAAACTGCATCACGATAACAACAAAATTAACAGTCGGGTTATTTTTTAGGTATTCTGAAATTTGATATGCTTGACTTCCAAAAATAGTAACCTTCAGATGTACAGAACTAAATAAACCATAAAATAGTATATTAATATTAATTTGTGATTAATTAAAGATAATAAATAATAAATAAATAATACAATATAATCTCACTCTAGGTTGCTAAGAGTGACTTTTATATAATGCTTGGATGGTACTGGATTTGAAGTTTCAAGAGGCCTAAATGACACGATATGTCCAATAACATCTACACAACAGATACCACAAAAAAATAAAAGTTTAGGATTAAATTCGTAATATTTAAATAATAAAATGTATAACCAAAAAAACAAATGATAAAAAATGATTTTATTAATATTTTATGACTAACCAAAGAATGTGTCTTTTGGGCATGTTTGTTCTATGATAGAATTAAAGTCAACAAACATAAATCCATTGACCGGCCCGAGAAATCATCACATTTTTTTAGGATGCTTTTCCAATCCAAAGTTAAGGTCTGTTTATGACCTGTATAACTAAAACCATTAGTAACAGCAGCCATATTGGGTTTTATAACTATATAACTTTCATCTTCCTTTAAAAGATGACGAAATCTGGAGAAATTCTGATTGAAGACACGAGCTTGGTATTGTGTACCCTGTTTAAAAAAAAATTAAAAATTATTATGTTCATGAAACATGTCTAATATTGAATGATGAATAAAAAATATATCAAATACAACAAACCTCCTCATCCATGATGATCATTTCAATGGAACAAACTTTATTATTTTGACAAAGTTCCAAATTTTAAGCACCCGAACCTTGATATGCGATTTTTCATCTATCTGGTCAATGTTATTTAGGTAAACCTTATTTCCTATTTCCATTTTCTGCAATAAATTTAATCATTATAGAATTGTAAGGAAAATTAGCAACCTTTTAAAATGTACAAACATCCTAACCAATAAGTAAAACAGAAAAATTATAAATCAACACATGACAATAACAACTGACTTAATGTACTCATAAATTTTTAAATTGAATAATTCATTTTATAATAAAATGGAATACAAACAAAAACAAATAATTCATATGAAATAATGTCTTAGATTGAATAAAAGTTTATATAATAAGATGGAACACAAATATATAATAAACATGAAAACGATAATTATACCGAAAATGCCCCTGCAACATACTAACACTAACAGATAACATAACAATGAGTAAAACAGAAAAATTAAAAATCAACACATGACAATAACAACTGACTTAATGTACTCATAAATTTTAAAATTCTAAATTTTTTTGAGATTGTATTTAGATAAAAACAAACAAATTTTAAAATTTCATACCATAAAAAAAAGTTACTGTGCACATCTGAAAAAGACTATTTTTAATTTTTTTTAAAGAAAATGAACTTGTAATGTTCATTAGTTTTTCGTCTTTTAAACTGAAAAGGTAGAAGAAGTAGACGATTAAGAAGAATTACAAAAAAGAAGAAGAATAGAAATCATACAATGAGAACGTGATAGATACAGATAAATAAGAACATGGAGGAAATAGAAATATTGGTAATTCTGATTTTTGAATACACTAACCTGATATTTAATTCTTGAAGCGTTGCAGAATAACAAAGAATGAAGAAGAATACGTTTGCTGTGGTTTCTATAGAGCAGAATTGTTATGGAGCAGAATGGTAAAAACAAAATAACCGTATAAATGATATTTACGTTTGCTGAAAAATACTGCAGATTTTTAGGGATTTAATGATTGCAATATATTGAATTTGCAATCAAAATAAACAAACTTTCAAATTTAATTGTGATTTTCGAATCTGATTATTCATTAACATATTTTTTCAAATTATTTCCATAATCTTTATTCATTTAAAATTAATGCATGAATATTTTGAATGCAGTTGACAGCTAAAATTTCCTGATATATTGCATCAGTTTGAATTTTTATTCAATTTTCGGATTCAATGGCATTTACGTAAATATAGAAGAAAAAATGAGCGGGAAAACTCTATTTTCGGGGGTTGGGAAAATGCCACGTGACCGAGTTCTACTTATTTATTAGAATTAGGATATCGAATAGCTTTATTTTTAAATTTTAAAAAATGGAATTCAGTCAATAAGGTATGAATTGCATGTGACTTGGTTACGTAATTCTTATTTTCATTTGGTTTTATTGAATAATATATTCTATCTTCATAAAGGAAATTTCTTTTTATTAATTTATTGAGTAAATTAGAGTTTTTGTGGTTATATGTTTTTTAATCAAGCCCGATTTTTTCAATGTTAACATTTAATGCTCTTGAATTGCTTTTGTCATCATTTTGGTCTCTTAGGTGAAGACCATTAGTGTTCAACCGTTAAATTGATAATAAATTTGTTGTAACTCATATTATAGACTTATATTTGATATTGTGCGGAAACCTATTAATTAGGGTTACATATATTGTGCGGAAACCTATTAATTAGGGTTACATATATTGTGCGGAAACCTATTAATTAGGGTTACATATATTTTTTTAGAAGAAACCAACCATATATTGAAACAAAACCAAAATCACGAACTAGCAAGAAGCTAGAACAAGAAAATTACAGAGTTCAAATGATTTTTAAACTAACTAAGCCTATCTACATTACACTTTGTATTTCTATTTGCAAACCAAATAAAAGAAAATTGACGAATATAATCCAATATATCACTTTGACTGATCGTAGTACCCGCAAAAACTTTATCGTTCCTGAATCTACAGATATACACTAAATAGCAATACACACAACCAATTCCACCAACACTTTCTTTTTCGTAAAGATAGACACTTGGTCAATTCACGCAAACAAATCAACAATCGAGGGGAAGTGAGGCGGAGAAATATCCAACCACTTAAACACGACATTCCATGTTCTCGCAACAACCTCACAATGAAGAAAAATATGATCTAATTGTTCAACCTCTAGCTCGTATAAAAGACACATAATAGAAGATACATCCAACCTCAATTCCAAAAGGTTGAAAGATGTTGGAATTCTATTTCTCAACACTCTCCAAATTAAAATGTTAACCTTCCAAGGAATAAAAGAATTCCATCTAGTTTCCATACTTGAGTGTGGAAGGATAGTATCGTCAATTCATCTTCTAGTATCGTTAACCGTAAAAATATTGTCATCTCCAATAATCCAAACCCATCTATCACTACGATCATTGATAATAACTTCCCTTAAGCAATTGAGCAACCCCGTATATTGAGAAGTTTTAATACCACCTCTAATTGGACGCCTCCAATTCCAATTTCAACCATCCTATCTTCTACGACTAGCAATAGTACAATCTTTTTTCAAGATCAAGTTGGAACAATCTAGGAAAACATTTAGCTAGAGTGTTTTCTCCAACCCAAACTTGCTTCCAAAATAGAGTATACATTTTGTTTCCCACTTGTCTTTTTAAAACCGAATCCAATACCACACCTTTATTATGTAACCAAACATTAGATGTAGCAATTCTAGCCCACGAACCATCACTTATCCGGTTACATCTACTCTGATCAAAACCGACACCATCTCCATGTAAGTGCTTAATAACTTGAACCCAAATAACATTTCCTTCAGTATGGAACCGCCATCTCCATTTCTGTAGTAGCAAAAAGTTAAGAGACCAAGTTAACAATATCCACCACCCCTTGTTTCTTATCCGCCAACACTTGATCCCAATTGATCCAATGTGTTTTTCAATTATCCTTAGTACCACCCTAAAAGAATTGACTTCATAAAGATTCCAACTGTTTAGCAATGCACACGCATTAAGAACATAGACATAAAAAATACCGAGGGATCCCAATACCGACTTAAGAGTAGACACTTTCCAACTAGAAAGTTTTTTCATAAACTTCTCATTTATTGAACTCCACCCAACAACTCTAGATATATTCTTCTCCACTGGAAGTCCCAAAGAAATGAAAAGAAATCTATCTGCTTTGCAGCCAACCAATAAAGCCAATTGCTCAACTTCTTGAAAAGGTACACTTACCCTATAAATGTTTGATTTTTGCATACTTATCTTCAAACCCGAAATTAGATAAAAAGCATCTCAAAATTATAGCAATATTGTTGATATCACTTTTAAACCAATCTCCAAGAAAGATGACATCATCAACGTAAAAAAAATATGATAACCGAAGACTACCACTTCCAACCTGCACACTAGAAAAAAGATTAGCATCCTTTTCAATTTCCATAACAGCATGAAGACCTTCCATAAATAGGATGAACATAAAAAGAGACAAATGATCATCTTGACGAATGGCTCTAAACAATTGAAACTCATCAATTGGACTTCCATTAACAAGAACTGACGATTTAACCAATATCAAACATGCCCTTATCCAAGCACACCTTTTATCTCCAAATATCATAAATTTCATCAAACAAGATAGGACCAACTAACCGTATAATACGCGTTCTCAAAATCAATTTTAAGAAGCATCCTTTTTTTCCTTTTCTTCTTATACCATTCAACAACTTCATTCACCATAAGAGGGCCATCAAGAATATGTCGATTTTTAATAAACGTCGTTTGCTCACTACTAACAACCAAATGAATCACCTTCGCCAATCTAAGAGCTAGAATTTTTGCAAAATTTTTATATTGGATTCCAATAAGACTAATTGGACGAAAATCATTTATGACAACCGGGTTATTAATCTTAGGAATAAGAGTAATAAACAAGGAATTACAACCTCATGGTATTCTCGCTTTAATAAAATCATCCACCGATGCAAAAATATATTCTTTTAACAAATACCAATACTTTTTAACAAAAGAAAACATAAACCCATCAGGATCTCTGATGCTTTTTCTGCTCCGCAAGACTACTCAACATTCTTTCTTTCATCCGTGATCCCCTTCACCTCCAAACCGAGAGCATGAACACTAGCAAGGCTGTGAAATTTTGGACTTTTTCTAGTAATCTCGATAGAATGGAAAATTTTGAATTTAGCTTTAAAAAATTCAAAAAATACTTTTTTTAACAATGGTAGGATCAACTAGCCAACCTCCATCTACCTTGATCCCACGAATAGCCATTTGACGTCTTTTTTTATAATACCATGATAAAATGTTGAGTTTTCGTCCCCCTCAACACTCCATTTTATTTTTGCCTTCTGAGATAAATCTTCTAGCTCTTTTTTTTCCACTCAAAAAGTTGAGTCTTAATGGTTACACTTTCTTCTGTTTCTTCCAACACGACCATCCCTACATCAATCTTTAAATCAATATCATGCAATCTTTTGAGAAGCTTATTTTTTTAATTTTGACCCTACATGGTGTTGATTTACCTTGTTCCACCACTACCACAACTCTATTATGAGGCCTTTAAGTTTTTCTTTAAAAAAATATAGGAGCACTATCACCCACATTGTCCCCCTTTTTGCCCTAAAATGAACGGACAACAATATCAAAATCCTCTTCAAGCATCCACGGATTAAAGAACTTAAATGGTGAAGGACCATAGTCTAACTTCTCATGCGCAAGGAAGATAGGTTTGTGATAAAAAAAATAGTGCGATCCAACACTAAAGCATTAGGATCAGGAAACCTCGTCAACACATCACGAGTCACTTGAAACCGATCCAACTTTCTTGATTTAGAACTATTGTTACTAACTCGAGTGTAATAGAAACCACCCAACGGAATATCACAAATATCACTAGAGTTTATAAACAAATTAAAAGCATCCGTCTCCCTTTGAGAAAACACACATCCCCAATCTTTCAAGCGAAGATATCGCGACATTAACATCACTAAAAAAGAAAGAAGGACCTTTATTGTTATTCATGAACTGTTGCAAAAACAACCGCAACCCCCTCTTACTTCGATCATCCCGAGGTGTATACACATTAACCTTATAACAATTAAAATTGTAACCAACCCTTTTTCCATGAACAATAAGAGCATTTTCATTCGAGAACACCATGGTTTTAGTAAAAACTGCAAGATCTCAAACGGAATTGATACATCCAGGTCTACCTTGAGATGAACTAGTTGCAAAATCAAAAGTGAAGTCTTCCTACATACATGCTTCGAAAAATAAAATGATCAACATAAGTAAGTCTTGTTTCTTGAATTCCCATAAACGAGACCCTCAAACTATAACACAAAGTTGCAATCTTTCCCCTCTTCATTAAGCTTTCAACACTACACATATTAATTGATAAAATATTCATTTATCAACTAACTTAAACCCATCTCTTTTATAATTGATTCCATATTTATTACATCTTTTCATCTTATACCCAAGAGTAGTTCCAACCTCGATAAATTTTGCCATTGCTTCAACAAGAGATACGCCATCCACATTTACATTCCTTATTATTCCAATTCTCGATAACTTTTAATTTTTTGAAATTGAGTTACCTGATTTCGAACCATGCATATCCAAACCAGCACCACCCCCATTAAGAGAGTGCAAAACTCTACCTCCACCTTGTATAAACGAGCTAAAACCTGGAGGTTTAGACGTAGACGAGCTAGATTTAGCAATCTATTCTAACACAAAATCATTGTTACCAGGTTCATTTCAACATTTTTCTTTTGCATTTTTTACAACATCATCATCCGAACCAATCTCCTCCGGTAATCCATCCACCATATTATCTTGGACTACATCCTCCTTGGTATAATTTTCAAATCCATTCACCATAGTATCATTAAGATTTAAATTTTGATCCTTCTTAGGT